CCGGCCCCCGGCTCAAAAAGGTTGCCTACCCCTGCTTTAGAAGGTTACTCTTTCAAAGGCAGAACTAGACATTACAATTCCTACCATTTCCCCCTGAAAACACATTGATGAACCTTGAGTGGGGAAATACAGCTCGGAAAGGGCTAAAGATACAAGGTGACCCAGGTCCTAGACTCTGGTTTGCAGCCAGAATTTACTTTTGCCTTGATTGTGGACTGAACATCTCTGAGATGTACATTATTCATGCTTATGCATGGTGATTTGTATATGTTAGATGGCATAATAAGCAAGGTTATAACAAATATCCCACCACTGTAGCAAAATGTAGTTGGAGGGCTACAAATGGGAAACTTTTACTTATTTTCATTGGACCAGGAACCAAAACTATTCTAAGAAGTTACCTTATAAAAAAGGATGGCTAAGAGCCTGGTCATTTCCTACTGTAAACAGAATCAAATAGGAAACCTTTTCTATGTCCAGGTGGGAATGCAATGTTTATATACTCTACTATGAAAATAAAAATGTTGCAAATTGAATATAAGCATGTTGCGGAGAATGGTTCACACTGCCTTCCTGCCATACGAGTTTTCTGTGTGCAGAGATGTCCAAGGGGAAAGGAGATCACTCTGGCATACATTGAAGCTCTGCCAGCAACCTGAAATAAAACATTTGAGGACAAACTTGACCCTGGAGTTTGACCCCAAACCTGCTGCTTAAAGAAGGATGTGGTAATTATCTTTGGTATTGGGAGCCTCCACTTTATATTTCCAGTTTATTCATTTGTCTGATTTATTTCTTCATTGCCTTGTATGATTAGTCTTCCAGAGGCAGTTTACAATATTAAGCAGTTCTGGTGTTCACTGTGTTTCTCTGTTTGCTATAGGTAGGTGTCATTTTCATTATGACATTGCAGATGTTGCAATAACCAGGTGTCACTTTCATTGTGTAGATTTCATCGTTTGGATTATCTCTTCCTGAATGCTGGGATCATGGTAAATCCACGTATCAGTTTCTGGGCATTTTTACAAGGCATCTTTTCCAGGTATTATATATCTGACTGGTCAGTTGCTATTTTTTCTTCTGGCATTGTGGATGGGAGGGAAGGGTTCAATGGACATTCCAGCACAGAAGACCATGGTCACAGTTTTCTATGTGAGAAACCTAAACCCAGGGTTTAGATCATGAACCTCTGTCTTCTGAGACAGCATCCTGCAATGTGATGCTTTCTACTCTGTAGGGAGCACAGTGTGACTCAAGGCTGCCCTCTGGCTTTTCTGTTTCCTTTGTTACATATTCAATAGAGCTTAAGCATACAAACCAGTAGGCTACTGTTGAAGTCTAAAAATCTGAGTGTTCTTGTTTTGAATAAATTTTCTATCTTTCAGAGCCACATTATGTTGTATAATGGTGATAATACTAGAGGAATAGAAACAAGAAGTTAAACCAACGGAAGCCCAAATCTCTCGTATCTTTCACACCATCCCACCTCTTTTCCTTCTGAAGTAATCTATAAGTGTGGCTACCCTCTC